ATATCAGATTGTGCGTCTTACCCTCGAAACCCCCGACTGGGTTTGGGGGCGCGTTTTTTCCCCGTTGTGGCCGTCGGCATTTGTTTCATCATTGTTTTATGGCCATCCGCCATTTCTAAAAAAAAATATTTTTTTAAACTGACATTACATTGTCAGTCATCAGCTAATACTATTCATCGTGTATTTGCATGGCCGGTAAGCAGGAATCCTCGACGTGTTTGGAGACCCAAAAGGGCTAGTTTCAGCAGCGTTTTTTTTGCTTTTTGTATTTTTACCTTTTTTTCTACCTCAGTTATATTGTCAATCATGGCCCCATACTTACTTTTTTTTTTCTTTCAGAACAGTTCTTTTAAATCAATTAAGAGGGTAATATAATTTGGTAAAATCATTTTTTATACCGAGATTATGCACTAAGGCGGATCGCTGATTTGTTTCTTACTAATAGTAATACTAAACAGAAGTCCACGGCAGGTAATTAAAATAAAATTTCTAGTCCCTATCTTTTACATTTCTACAAAGATAAGATCGAGAAAATGATCACTTAAAAAATAAAAAACGTTTAGATTTCAACTCATGAAAAATTTGTGTTGGTTTGAAAGCTTTGTAAAACGTTTTTTCAGCGGAGATGCGTCAGTTATTAATCTTTATGAAAATGTAAAAAATTGCGACTTAAACATTTATTTCGAGTAAAATGAAAATATTTGTGGTTGTTACAAAAAGAATAACGTTTTCTTAGATGTTTTAAATAGAAAAATTTTCACTATATAAGCAAATAGTTAATGGATATGTACTGAAAGTTTCATTTAAATAGGATAATTCCTTGATATTTGGTAATTTAAAAAAAATGCCGGCTTTCCCTCCTAATTTTTCTTCGGGGGTTTGTGGCCCCAAGATGAGAAACTTTGAAATAGACATGTAGTAATGAGAGTGGCCTGGTATCAAAGTTTCGGAGGTGGGGTCAGACCCTTGCGCCAGTCCTTCGTTCAATGAAAATGCAGGAAGGCATAAACCTATTTACCAAATTACACAAACGCATTTGAAGGCAACAAAAAGTGTGTTAAAGTAGCATGAAAAACGGGATGCATTTTCTTTGAATAAGATGAGATTCCGAGTTAAGACTATGATGGATTTGTATTCTGATAAATTAGAATTTTTCAAAAGGTCTACACGAAAACTAAACTATGTAGGTCACACAACGAAAACAATAAAGATTGTAGGTAAGAAAATTGGGAATACACAAAAGTAATGATTCAAGAAATTTAGTGATAATTAACGGTAGCTTGAATAGGGTCATAAGCATTCAGTTGCTGAAGAAAAATTGATATCAGACTTTAATGAAAGTTTGAATATTTCAGTATTCTGGATGAATAATGTGTAAGTGTATTGGAAGATTGATTAGCTCATGCCTCTAATGTAAACATAATCGAGAAAAGTGGGCAGAATTAAACTGAAATTTTTGCCAGAAGTGTCTACGAAATCTGATCCAGTTTTGGAAGCTTAGCCACAGACAATGTAGAGATATGATGAATTATTTGTAAGCATCTCTCTCTTCCCAAAGCGCATTGAAGTAATTCTTCAAATTAAGAGAAGCTACACAAATTATGAAAATGTACAGTAACACCTTGAAATGGATATTATGTAATACATTTTCGTTGAAGGCATTTTTAATTTTAAAATAAGTATAAGTTTTGGTTATTTGTGCAGGCTAAAATCTTGCACGGCCAATTTTATGGGTCATCTCACATCTTCCCCTTTAACTCCCACGTCATGTAGAAGATAATGCCAATTATACTGGACTCAATCCCTCTAAAACTAATTTCATAGGCTTCAACCAGTAATGCCCAATACTGTCGCAGGTGAATCGATAAAATCAGTCGAATCTTTTTACTTACCAAGAAGGCGAATTAAATTCTGAAATGGATGTGAAAATTCGCACAGCTAAAGCCTGGTCCGCTTTGTAATCTGGAAATCCGATCTACTAGAAAACTTCAAACAGAAACACTTTCAAGCCATTGCAGAGGCGGTGTTAATGTCTGGTGCCACTGCTTGGACATGAACTAAAACCCTAAAGTCTAAGCATGATGGAATCTACACTCGGATGCGAAGAGCTATAATTAAAATTTGGAGACAACATCCAACTAAATCACAGCTCTATGGATCCAACCCTGATTTCTCTTACGCAAACTCAGAATGCACTTTGCAGGATACAGCTGGCGAGCAAAACACTTCGCAAATGATCTAATGTTTTGGAAAACTAGCCATGGAATAAAACGAGTTTATTACCCAGCAACCACCTCCATTAACTAGCTTTGTTATGACACATAATGCCTCTCTAATGACCTTCTGGCCTCGATGCAGGAACAAGATGGTTGGCGTGATAAACTCATGAATATCTGAGTTAACTTGACCCAATAATATAATATAATATAATATAATATAATATAATATATATCTGTGTGTGTGTGTTTGTTTGCGTGTGTGTGTGTGCGTGCGTGTGCGTATATCACATAGAGAGAAAGTGTATTGATACAATGTTTGAATGATTTCAGCTTTTCTTTTTGTATTTTGTTATCGAAGTAATTTTCATTGATTCATAGAAATTAATAGTGTGGAAATTTGACAACATAGATGTTTATAGAATGTATTTCTAATTGGAGACAAGTTATATTTTTTAAATAAAGTGCATATGCAACTTAAATGTTTTCATTCATGTATTACAACAGTTTATGACAGATCTTCTATCGAATAAATAACATTGAATTGTTTTCTAAATTTCATTCATTAACTAAAATCGATACTTACTAAGTGTTAGTATTGTTATCCGATGTGAGTCTATAGCAGAGTGAGTTTAAAACTTTTTTAGAAGGAAATATTTGTCCTATCTAGTTTTTCATTCAGAAATTCACGCTATTGTTACCTCGTCTTCCAAACTAGAGAACAGTTTAATCTTAAATCATTACCGTTATATCTTGAGAATTATATGACACGGCAATTCTTTTTATAAATTATGAAAAAGTATTTCGACGTAAATTACGAAAATTTAAAATCTTTATATACCTTAAAATAAAAACTGGCAAAAAGGATGCGATGTTCATATTTTCTGTTACTTTTTAATTTCACTTACAGGAGAGTAATACAACCTTTCTCCGATTTTAAAAAATTGAATATTCAGAAATTGATCAACAGCTGTTCGACGATATTGCCGACATCAATATGTCGGAATTAGGCTAAACTGATTATTTAAAAATTAATGGATTTGTTAAATATATTTGGTTATAGAACCAGTAATAGGATAGAATACTCGCAGTAGTTCTGGAGTTATTGAGCGCAATAATGCATTCTTTACAGAATTCTGATTTTTGACTATGTGCTTAAATTTCCCTAGTATAATAATTTCTAATGGAAAGAAAAAGGTATGTGCTAAAAATGAATGCTATTTTATTTATCATCGCTATTTTCAATCGGTTAAAATACATCAGTTCCTGTTAGGAGAGGGAACTAGAGTGGAATAACGTGTAACAGGACATGGAAAACCAAGGGACCCTGTTAGATGAAAAATATTAGATAAATTGAATTCAGTAGCCAGAAACATGAAATGGGGTTGGAGAGGAAAACAAAGAAAAGATGTTGACAAGAATTAATAGCAAAATGAGAAGGAAAGTGAAAGAGAGAATAAAAGAGAAAAGGAAGAATATATAGAAGATGAGTAAGTATTTCTTCGAATCTATTTTCGTGTCAAATCCTGTTCGTATTGAGATTGAACAATCAATAGGTATCGATTTTTGTTATGGAATCTGGTGTTAAATATGAGGACATTACAAATATGTCGCTAGTTTCATCGCTTCATCTTAGCAGCCTTTCTATTCATGCATTCATCGGCCTGCTTATCTCTGACCTTTCCATGACTTCACCTTGAGGAAGTAAGAGAAGGGGAGCGATCTATGCATTGGTGTTTGTTTCCCGAATCTGTCGGCATGCTCCACTACAATACATGCTGACCCTTCACAACTCATCTCACAAATATTGATATTACTTCCATTTTTCATCTTTATCCGTTTTCTTTTCTATAAAGGTAATGGCTGAAAAGGGAAATATTTCTACGAGAGTTGGGCTTTTCATACACAATTGCTGTTGTGCCGTATCGAAACTTTACCTGTTAAATGAGAGATTACAAAGAGATTTTCATTATGGTAGCTGTTTGCTTCTATTATACGGCGGCATTATGGTTGCATCTAATAGGTTTGGTGTAGGATTCATATAATAACCTCCTTATCTAAGCCTTTTATAATACATTCGCCTACTTTGTCTGTTAAAGGAAGAATTTTGCTATTACGGGAAATCGTTGTTTGTAAAATGCTGACTGTTATGTCTCACTATCGCACTGTCAAATGTTTCAATAGAACTTTATGTAATTTTTGCTTTCTTTTTCTCATTTTTTAACCGATTAATTCAGTGAATTTCACCTTGTCTCTGTCTTCTTGCTTCCTTTGTATGCTTAACAGGTTTTCTCTAATAGTACCTATGAAGATTTCACAGTTTTTCCTATTTTAATTTTTTGATGAATCACAATTCTTAATTTAATGATTGAATATGCTCCTGCCTCGCGTATGAAATAATAAGATAATTCCCTTATTGCATTGGTAAATATTTCAGCTTAGCAAAATATTTCAATAACAAACATAATTTCGAATACAGGTCATTATTATAAGTAACAATAGTGTACAAAGTTTCCATTTCACTGAAATAAAAACGTTAAGTACCGGTAGTGTTACCACTACTTCTATTTTCCTTTTGTTTCTTTCTTTCTTTCTTTCTTTCTTTCTTTTTATTATCTTTTCTCGCTAAAAGCTAACCGCGTCTCTGATATATCTTTTTATTTCGACATCCTCTGAAATCAAAACGGAAAGGTTCATTATTCATCTGAGGTAATGCCTGGATGTCACACACGCGCTAACTTACTAACTAATGAAGGAACAATCAATACTATGATGATTCCTCTAATGTTTTTTTTTTTTTTGGCTTATACCATCATTCGTTCTTTCATTTGTTCACTCGTTCGTTCGTTCTTTCTTTCTTTCTTTCTTTCTTTCTTTCTTTCTTTCTTTCTTTCCTTCATTTTCTCGGTTGATTTCTCTGATGCATTCACTTTTGTTACTATTCCCAACAAACAGTTCTTTGAAAATATTAAACTCTCTTTAAAATCCTGAAATGATATTTTCGGAATATTTTTTAAATTTGAATCGAAATCTACAGTGATGTTGTATATTGTTGTCTGATAGTAAACTGAAAATAGTTAAATTAATTTAGAATTATAGATAATTTCAAATAACAAGAAGGAGTACTGGATCCATTCTGACAATAATAAAGCAAATCGTAAGGAAAATAAAAGAGGAAATAACAAGGTGACAGAAAAAGGAAAATAAATGAACATGAATTGATATAATCAAAAAAGGTTATGGTAATAAAATTAAGGAAAATAAGAAAATGAAAGAAAATTATTAGAAAGAAGAAATTTTTTTCTAAAAAAAATTGGACAATATCCCCACAGATGAGAAGAAAACTAGAAATGTGGTTCTGCAGAAACAATGACAATTCCATGGACGGAGCGAGTAAGCAAGAAGGAAGTCTTAAAGAAAATGGTAAAAGAAAGAACATTTATACTCAAAATCAGGCCGTCGTGGGTATGACGATAAACTGCATCCGCGTCCTGGGTAAGACGATAAACTACGTTTGACAGCAAGGCCTTTGATCAGGAGGTTTTGAGGAGCGTGGAACCACCTTGCTAGTGTTCCCAGGTCTACCCTGAGAGAGTGGTAGCACTAGTTATGCTCCCAGTCATGGGTAAATAATTAACCCCCAAATTGAGGTCAAAACACTATGAAAGTGTAAAAATAGGTTTTAATATAAGAAATACGCTGTAAAAAAAATTATTACCAGCAATAAACTTTTGAAGAAAATTATTACCAGCAATACATTTTTGAAAAAAAAAATTACCAGCAATAACAATCTTGTCGGCATTAAATAACCCAGTGAGGTTGATATGCCGTAAAAGAAAACAAACCAAAACAAATCAAAATCAGGGAAAGACAGTTGAAATTCCTTGGACACATAAAGAGGAAGTAGAGCTTGGAAAACAACCATAACGGGATATACTGAATGCAAGAGAGATTGGGGAAGACAGTGATCCAGTTACCTGACGAGCTTTTACGAATGAATGGCGGAACCGGGGAGCGATAGCATTAGCAAAGGGATAAAAAAAACCCCCAAAAAACAAACTTCTGAGTGACACAAGGGATTGAAGTTGAGGTGTGCCTGAAAAGATCTGGCACATATAAGAAAAGTATCAAAAGAACACACCAAATTTATAATCTTGTAAAACATACTTTCTTTCTAAAAAGACTACAATGGTTTGAAGTATTCAAGTATTCTATCTATTCGTATTGTCATGTCCCGAAGGATTTTGACTTTTCCGTTAGCTTTTCTGGTCGATGTTCATACCACTTTCTGTGTTCTAGTGCGGAGAATTTTAGCTAATTGCCAATGAATATCATGGACTTTTGTTACTGTGTCTGAGCGAGATTCTTACACTTCAATACTGGACTATTGTTTCCTCTCTCCTCCCATAAATTTTGCACAAATGTGAAATGCATTATTTGTCAATGTATTTTTTTAATCAACTTTATTATGCTGACTTTTTCTTAAACTGTCATTATAGTGCTCTCTCTGATTTTTTACATATATCCTTTTATCAACCAAACCTAGGTCTGTTGTCTCTGAAAAAAAACAAAAAAAACTCAGTGTTTTTTGGGATACGCTACATTGATTATTTCCTTCAAGTTTTAACTTATTATTTTTACTAGTTTTAAATCATGAAAATTTCACGGTTTTCCTATTTTAATATTTTAATGAATTTTAATTCTTAAATTAATAATTGCGTAAGCACAGCGAGTTCTATGACAATAAAATATCTGCAGAAATGCCCCTGTTGCATCGTTAAATATTTGAGCTTAAAATATTGCAATAACAACAATAATGATGGTCGTTGGACGCTTCGATGTAGTGTATTGGTTAACAATTTTGCATCACTGGCTGTTCCATATTTTCGGCCTTGTACCATGTCTACGCTACGCTTAGAAAATCACAGGGGACCTCGACGTGGTGTAATGGTTAGCAAGCTTCTCTCGCTAAAAGAAATTACAGCTGAGTAGTGAATTCGATTACCACTGGGTGCCCCACACATCTAATATACCCTTAGAAGATCACCATAATGCTGGTCGTTATTTTAAGAAGTGGGTACAAATGAAAACAAATTGAAAGTGACTTTTTCCATTTCACTGAAACAGCCGTCAAACACTCTTTTCTTACTTTCTTTCTTTCTTTACTAAGCAATGTCTTTTCCTCACGATCAAAACAGAATAGGCCATTATTTATGTGGTATTCGCAGGTCGTAATGGTCGTGCGAACTAACGACGGGAACTACAACAGGAATATTATTATTTTTATTTATTTATTTATGTATTTTCCTTTGATTTCTGTTGTATACTCATTTCCTTCCTTGTAGCAACCAGAGATTTAAAGTAAGAAATTGCATCATGACATTTTTCATTGCCTATTTGTGTATGTTTTATATAGATAAATCCTTTCTTAGAGTGTGAGCTTTGCTTGTGAGAACAATAATTTTCTATTTCTTTAAGTTATCCAATGAATTCTAGTGAAACGTTAAACACAACTGCAATTATTGATGTGCAATATTTTTAAAATTTCCACTTTCCATTTCTTGATTTGTGTATTTCCATAGTTTTTGAAGATCTGCAAAGTTACGTTATTATTATTATTATTATTATTATTATTATTATTATTATTATTATTTTCTTCTTCTTTTTTTCAGTTTAGTACATCCCCTTACTCGAAGCCTGGAGTAGCGCAAGTAGTAAATATATAAATTTTGTTTACAACAAGTCTTTATATTTTCTTTACATTGATAATACTCTCCTGAATAGATCAGTACAATTTTTTAATTCTTTTACAAGGATTTTGTTAATGTTCTTGTCTCTACCTCTTTTGATCGTCGGCTGGACTTATAGGTATAACAATAGTTTTACGGGGGAACATATTTCTTTCAATTTCAAGATTCTTCTACTTATTTATTTTGTCACATTCTTTAACAGCTATATGTTCATCTGATGACGCTGCCATTTCTCTTAGAAGGCTTTTTAGATTTTAGTCGTTAATCATAATGTCTGGTATATGTGACGTTTATATGGCTGTCGATATGAAGGGTAAAAACGCAAAGAACACTAGCCACATGACTATATTTTTATGGCTGCATTATTATTATACTGATTTATTTTTATATGACTTCTTATCATCATCATCATTAGCAGAACCATCAGCATCAATGGCATCATCATCATCATCATCATTCTCATAGGAAAAAAACTCCTTTCTCATATATCAGTGAAAATATATAAGGCAAAAATTGACATATTTACAAAAATATTTATTACATAAATATAATATTCTCAGATGGCATAGAAAAAGTTTATCTTTTTTTATGCCTTTAACCAAGTAAATGCTAAGAGATGTTGACCTGCTGAAGAGAATTATTTTCTTAAAATCCGTTAGTTTAGAAAATTCTGCATTTCTATTTGATCATTTTCATTTCAATTTTAATTCTTCACTTTTCTAAGCAATCTTGAATCAGAAAAATATAAATCTAGAATTATGAAGGAATAGAAAAAAATAAATTGAAAACATGACATATGACAGAAAACCAAGAACAACGGAAGAGTTAGAAAAGTTCCGAAAACAAAGAAAAATCAGAGAAAAAAAGAAAAGGTATATAAAAGTAATATATATATATATATATATATATATATATATATATATATATATATATTTAAAAAAGGCAAAAAAAGAACTAGGAGCTGATTTAAAAGGTGAGGAAAGAGAGTGAGAGAGAGAGAGAGAGAAAATTAGAGAGAGGACTGAATAGCGAGAGATAGAGATATAAAAAAAAAAACAAACAAGGGAAGTCAATAAAATGATGAGGACCAAAGACATCGTCACAGCGAATCGAATGCCGGTGAGGTTATTCTAGGTTAGTCGACCCACAACATCAATATCAGAAACGAAGATTTAAAAAAAAAACAAAACATGAAAAGTAAGAAAAAAGAACAACAATAAAGAAATTAAGATGTCGAATTTAGCTTGAGTACAAAAAATGAGATTAAAAATATTACGGTAGGGAAAAGAAAAATTAAGCATAGACTGCAACGTTCTTCGCATCTATCCCTGTCATTGTCCTGCAGAAATTAAAAAAAAATAAAACTAAAAATAAATATCTTGTATGAGCGTTCGTGTTTCTTCTGAATCTTCTGTTGTTGGTCATAAATCAAACAACGAATTTCAGGCATGATTGTCAGTCTGGAAAATAGCCTTACACATCAAAAAGCCACTAACGAGAGATAACCACAAAAATGCTCTTGAAGGGGGGCGTAAAGAACAAGGCAACGGGGATAACGGGTAGAATAAGAAAAATATAAATATAAGAATGGATATTCGTGAAGCCGGCATTTCAAAAAATAAGAGCATAAAGCATAGATGTATGTATTTGCAAATATATATGTTGATGTATGTATATATATATATATGTATATATATTTATATATATGTATGTATGTATGTGTGTATGTGTGCGTTATAAAGACAAGCCTTTCTAGTTGGTTGCGAGTGTTTCATATTATTTCTAGCTTCTTATAATCAAGGTAAACTTTTTTCATTGCTGATTTTCCAGGGGCACACGTTTGTCATTTGAAAGACTGATGCAACACAATCTTCCCTCCGCTAAACTTCAATACTAGTCCTACCACCAGACTAACCTAAAACACCGTCATATATAGACATCTAAACAAAGATTGTCTTCAATATTCGTGTAAAATAAAATAATACAAAATAAATGTCTAAAGCTGTAATGCAAATAAAAATAAAGAAGTAATAAAATAGAATCGAATAAAACATGCAACATAAAATCGGACAAAATTCCCAGTAAGAGAAAAAAAAATCAAACAAGCAAAAAGCGATGAAAGCAAATCTCTCGACTCAATGAAAAATAATAGAAAAAATCTTTAAAAGGGAAAAAAAAACAAACCTCTCTAACTGCTCCTAAATATACGCAACAACACAAATAAAAGAGAGAACCAAAATTACAAATGTCGAAAGTCAACAACGCTAAAAACAACAACAAAAAACAAATGTTAGGAAAATATTCGGAACTCAGAAGGCAGAAAAAAAATTACATACAGTACTAAATTGAGGAAAGTGTAGAAAATAATAATAACAACAATAAATAAATCGAAATGAGGTAAAAAATGCGAAAATCCTCCATAAAAAAGGTCGATCTCTTGCAGTTTCGCTGGAGGATTGACCCGTGGTGCAAAACCGGCATTAATTTAACTTGTTCCTCGATCGAACGCACTTGAAGAAGAAAAACTTACAACAAAATCCACAGGAATAAAATTGATGACTGAGATGTTAAGTCTACGAGTTTCGTTTATTTATTTATTTATTTATATACTACTCTACCTTTGTCAAATCAGTCTAAAGATAAAGATTACTCTGCAAACTTGCAGAATACTCCGTTTTTACACAGACGCATCTCTGTCTTTCTGTCTGCCTGCCTGCCTATCTATCTATCTATCTATCTATCTATCTATCTAATTCTTTCGTTAATGTGTGTATTTGCGCATAATCATCCGTCTCTTTCATTCGTATAACTGTGGGGAATATATGGCTGTACATATTGATCTATCATTATATCTACTTAACTATCACTGTGTGTGATGTTAAAAAGAAAATATTGTTGCTTATCCACAGACTGGTTCACATGCGTTTGTCTAATAAAAATGCATAACCGTATCTGAGAGTGCGAAGAAAATATTTTATTTTATTTATGAATGCTTCCTTATATCTATTGTACACACACACACACACACACACACACACACACACACACACACACACACACACACACACACACACACACACACATATATATATATATATATATATATATATATACACTATTGCACACACGCAGACAACTTATTGCGTATGTGTATATATTTGTGTATTTTGCACGTTGAAAATATATCTGTAGTCAAAATTTCAACTTTTTACGCTTTCTAAGTTTTATGTACCATATGTCGAGTTAATCCACAATTCTTTTGCAAAGATTATAGCGCTTGAGTTGTCTCCTAGTAATAGATGTTTGCGTATTTGTGAGCAATTAATATTTTGACAAGTTTAAGTCAACTATTGTATAAGACTAACGAGACACAGAAAGATCACTCGAAAATGTCATCGGCTATCAACTTATATTTCTATGAATCTATTTTCCTCTTTATGCACGTCCATAATTATTTTGTGTATCATTGTTGTCAAAGAAATATCTTCAGATCGGCACACCTTTATAGCTCCTTAGAGTTATATACCTTTTCTCTTTATATTATGCGTTCTCATTCTTTTTCTTTCTTTATATTATACTCTTTCTTTATTCTTTCTTTCTTCCTTTCTTTCTATGCTACTTCAATCTTTATATGCTATTCCTTTCTTTCTTTATATCTATAGTACTGTTTCTTTATATTTATGCAATATTTCTTTTTTTCTTTCATTTTAGATTATACTATTTCATTTTTCTTTAAATTTATGTTATTTCATTCATTCATTCATTCATTCATTCATTCTTTCTTTCTTTCTATGTATAGTATTTCTTTATATTTAATCAATTTTTTCTTTCTTTTTCTTTATATTTCTTTCTCTCTTACTCCTCCTCTCTATATGAAGTTTGGTTTCAAAATAAGCATGAAGACTTATTCTATACTCAGTGGCGAATATCTTTTCTGCTATTTGCGTCTCTATAATAAATATTTCGCCTACAGATTAACATGCTTATTATTTCTGTACCTTTACAGAACAATTTCATTTTCAGCAAAGATACAGACCTTGTTTACAATTGTGATGTGCTTGAAAGGTACTCGGAGCATAAAAGTTTGAGCCATTGTACGTAATGAGATGTCTTCATTTACATGTCTATTTACCCAAATCTATCTATCTATCTATCTATCTATCTATCTATCTATCTATCTATCTATCTATCTATCTAAATTTATATTTCCACTTGAATGTATTTGTTTTTTTCATATGCCCATTTTGTGCTTATATGTACATATATCCTACTTATCACACACACACACACACACACCGATACATACATATTATATTATATATATATACCTTTTATTCGCTTATATTATTTACGCAAATGCCCATGTAAGCCTGACAGTATATGGGTAAAATGTTATTGCTATTTGTTTTCTTTTGTATTAATGTATGCTTAGGCGATCTAAACAATATGTCATGCGTCCATTTATATTTTCACGCATTTGTATATGTCAATGGATGTGTGCCCACCAATATGTTAGCGTGTTCAAGCGAGCGTTAACTTTTCTATGTGTCAGTAACCTTTACCCCATTATTTAGAAAGAGGTTGCAAATAAAACTGTCGGCCATTGAACATATGTTATGTTAGTGAAATTAGAAAATATAAAAAACTAAATCTTTACAGTTGTATATTCTTTCTGCCTGTTTTATTTCCTATGACTCTGTGTGTTTGGGCTCTGCAATGCAAAAGGTTGGTGCCATTCATCAAATTTCTACCAAATTCTACGCTCATATTCTTCTTCTTCTTCTTCTTCTTCTTAAGAAGAAGAAGAAGAAGAAGAAGAAGAAGAAGAAGAAGAAGAAGAAGAAGAAGAAGAATGTTTAACTTAACGAAAAGGTAAATCATTGTAATCGAGAAGAATGGTTGTATACAATAGCATCAAATAATTTTAATATGACAAGAGACCAAGTTTTACCAAACATCCAGATGTCCTTTTTTTTTCTATGGGCATGTGCTGTGAGATATCAGTTTGCATTGTAAAAATAGACAGCTATTTGGTAACATATTATCTGTGTTCTGTCCTGTTCTGTGTATCAAAATCCTATTAACGTTGGTATCCATAGTTTTCATTTTATCATATTCGGTATTACTTTTAGCTACATATATGATTTCAATAATTTCCTGCACGTAATTGCGTTACTATAATAACGTTTCCAATACCGTTGTTTTTAGTAAGTTTTGTAATCACAATATTTTCAACTGTTTTCAAATTACTAAGCCAGTTTTCTTATCCACTGGTCGAAGGCTCTTAATATTGCATAGTTTCTTTTAGTATTATTGTTAATACGATATTAAGAATGGGGATTTTTTTTTTAGGTCGCGGTAACTAAGAATTATTTTTTTCTGATTATTTCAACAATGAAAAAGCGAATTTTACTTATAAGTTAATTTCTTTAAAAAAGAGGAATATTTTATCGACTGTATCTTAATTTATAAATGACGAAATTAAAAACTATTCCATAATATAAAACACAATATATATATATATATATATATATATATATATATATATATATATATATATATATATATATAACAGTTCTGGTGAAGCTAAATAAATATCAAAGTATTTTTAATTTATTAAGGTCTTCCGACTTGCTCCTTATTTAATTTTTTCGTCGGGCTTAATCCATATATTTAATATATTTTAATATATACATAAATACACACACATACACATATATATAGATACACCTAGTCAGACAGACAAACCTACCTAGGTTTCAACCTAAACGGATTGTCAGAGAAGGTGAGGCTCTTTTCCCTCGAGATTGATTTGATTATTAGCAAATCAAAAATTGAAACGTTTGTTTTTCGAAACGAGTATATATATATATATATATATATATATATATATATATATATATATATATATATATATATATATATATATATATCGGTTAAAACATTTGACATCACTTCTTAGTAATGAGTGAGATATTCCACAGCTAAGTCAGAAAAAAGCATTGCGCAATGCCACCAAGGGAACATCTCTCATGTTACTATACCAATGGAATATCTCATTAGTAGATTTTATTTACATTAAGCCGTATAATTCTAAAGAAAAATCTTATAAGGTCAATGTTAATGTCTCCATTGATTTTATCTTCACGTTATGAAAACATCATTCTTCCTACTGAATATCTAATCTCTAGTTTTCGTAAAAAAGTGTCCCGAACACTTTCGTACACACACATAATATTTATTTTCTCAAATATGTAGAGCATAGACTAGAAGAGGAAACCATTTCATGTACAACCGTCACATAGATATTCGTATTTATTAGATTCACTGAAATGTTTCACTGTAAATAGAATAATTTTGTGCTTAGGAAAAGTGTTTATATATATCTTTTCTGTTATATCGATTTATCTTTAAAGGTAAGAATTACTATTTGCAACTGTTCAGCCTAAGACTATAATTTTCGTTTAATATTAATGTTCAGACAAGAAAATATTTGAGTGTTTTGTAAAACCAACATTGTATATTGTCTGAATAATTTTCCTCTAGAATCTAGTTTTCAAATTTTCATGGCAGTTCTTCGTTGGAAACTTACCTGCAACTAATGTGACCTGTTTGTTTTTATTGTCGTCTACTACAGCGACATTAAACATCACCATTTTGAACATTGATGTCACTGATAATTAAAATAAAGCACATGATTAATGACTATCATCTGTTTCTAATTGACAACCAAAGTTTTAAAATAGATATTTCTTGTTTCACATTAGTACCTGAAATAATGTGGGATGTGGGGGTGCATTTTAGGATTAAGACACTCTTTTATTGTTATTATGCGATCCAAGTCTCAACCGGTGTAGTCAAGTACCTCAACTAATCATATAATATTTCTCAACGTGCCTTTTTTTTGTAATCAAAGGAAGATGTAATAAAAGAAGAAGTAAATAATAAAAATTTAAAGTGGAAAAATTCAGTGTCGACTTGTCAAAAAGAATATCTTTTCATTTTGGGCACATTTGACAAAATATAAACCCTTGTCCCCGAATGTTATTTAGAACATCGATAAAAAGATGATGGCGTTAATTTTATCTTTTTAGATGATTTTCTAATTATCAAATTTCAAAATTTCAAAATTTCAAATTGCTATATTTTCAAATGCATTAAATAATTTAAAATGCACATAACAAGATACATGCATAGACAATAGACAAAAATGTTCTCATCGTAAACTAAACTTGCAACTGGCTCACTGCGCAAGTAAGATTGAGACAACATCACTGATTTTATTCCTCTGTGTAGGCGCTTTACTTGTATTTTATAATAGTCATTCTTTACAAGATTTAATCGAGAATAAGACATTGCTATACTTAGATAGCTGTCTGTTTATGGAATCGTTAACTTAATTACCTACATTTCTAAAGGCTGGCTTGCTTTCCTTTGTCTCTCATATCAGCACGCTTGCATTTTGCGTTCTTTTCAAAAGAAGTTAATAGGCTTTCGCTGAAATTGAGCAAGAAAAACTTTATTCTTTACTGAAACCAAATATACGAGGCAAAATCATGTTAAAATATTTCGATATCTACTAAGCAGATAAACTTACTAGATGCATAAATATTTAAAAACTACAAGCAGGCAAAAAGATAAATGGAATAAATTTGTAGCATCATGATTGGGTTGCGTCAACATTTCTAATAGGGGGGTGTATTGTCTACATTGAAACTCACTATCAAAATGATATGGATTCAAATGAATTTCTGCTTTGTTTTTAATCTTATTAAATCAATAAGTTTAATTCAAGAAGAGAAAAGCTACGTGAAAATAGTTTTAAATTAACAGTTACGAAATATTAATACATTTATACACTCACCACAAAATCTTGTGATAACGAATGAAAAATAATACTGATAATAATTACAAGTAATGTCATAGTGTGCATATATATATATATAGTTATATATATATATATATATATATATATATATATATATATATATATATATATATATATATATATATATATATATATAATATATATAGACATATAATATTTTCTGTCAATCTAATATATACATAGACAGAAAAAGTGTATCTGTATGTGCGTGTGTATGTATGTATGTATGTGTGTGTGCATTCGTAGAGATAAAGACATTCATTAAATTTATAATTCAATAAATAGAGAATTAACAATTTAATTAATTTCTTTATCTCTACGAATTTGAATAGAATTAAACCGTTTGGTATTGTCGCCATTACAATATTTTGAAGAGTGATATATATACATAAATATCCATATTATCCCTCATTGATAGCACAACATAATCTTTAATTGCTGAGTATAGTCTGGTATTTGTTGACTTGACAAAGGCATTTGACACCGTAAACAGAAAGGCTATGTGGAATATTTTAGGGAAGATGGGATGTCCCGAAAAGTTAGTTTCCATTCTTCACTTGTTCCATGATAATATGAAGACATGGGTTAATATTGGTGGAAAGCTCTCTGAGCCGGTGACAGTTGAAAATGGAATTAAGCAGGGTGACATTCCGGCTCCAACCCTATTTCCCCTGTACTTCTTTATCGTTTTTGAATAGGCCTTTAAAAAAACCTGCAACCTTGGTATTTACATTCGCTATCGTTCAACAGGAAGGCTGTTTAACACCAGGAGGTTTGATGCAAAGTCGAAGGTTCACTTGCCGTTGATCAGGGATTTGCTATTTGCTGATGATTGCGATCTTAGTAATGTAGACGTGCTAGAGAGGAGCGGCTGTGATAGTATTGAGTCTGTGATACTAAAACATCAATTTCGTTGGGCGCTCCACCTCGTCAGAATGGATGACAGTCATATTCCAAAGCAACTATTTTATGGTGAGCAAAGAACAGGGAGGTGAAATGCCGTCAATCATAAGATGCACTTTAAGAACTGCATCAAGGATGCGCTGAAGAAATGCAACATTTCTTGGAATTGGAATGAGACTGCTCGGAGTGGAAGGTACCACTTTGAGGAAAAGAAGAGGAGGCAGGCACGGCTTAAAAGAGATGTGCGCAAAGGCATCTCCGTTGAACTTCTTGAAGACACCGGCAGGCAGCTCGATCTGACGTGTACAGATTGTGGTAGAGTATGTTTGTCCATGGCGGGTCTAAATAGTTACTTGAAGGCGCATCGATGGAGGGTGGCAATTAATTATATAGACGTAGACGTCCAGCAGCTGAAATGTGATATTTGCAGTAAGACATGCGAGCCCAGAAACAGTTTCATGCGACATTGTAAATTGCATGATAATGTAACACCTCCTGTTGGGCCTCTTAAGAGCCCTGCTTGTACAAGAGTATGTAGGTCCCTTGCTTGGCTAAAAACTACATTTGTTCAGAATATCTGTAGATATTCTGCAAAAGGATATGTAGTTGGACACGCATTGGCAAACAACCATAATATATATATATATATATATATATATATATATATATATATATATATTAATAAATATCCATAATATCAAACCAAAATAAAATTAAACATCGTTAACGGGATGTATATCCGCTCGTTATACAGTATTATCTGTGAAATAAAAACAGTGCTCAATGTTAAGTAACAGAGCTAAATAGCTCTGTTACTTACATTGACAATTATTGTTATATTAAAATTTTATATTTTAAATATATATAAATTTTATATAATATTTAAATATATAAAAAATATACATAATACCCTACATTGATCGCACAACTTGGAGTTTCATAAGACTTCCCACTCCATATATATATATATATATAATGTGTGTGTGTGTGTGTGTGTATGCGTGTGTGTGTGTGTGTGTTGAAAAGTCACAAAAAGAAAAGTATAGGGGAAAAGAGTGACAGACGGAAAAGTGTATCTGTATGTGCGTGTGTATGTATGTATATGTGTGTGTGTGTGTGTGTGTGCATTCGTAGAGATAAAGACATTCATTAAATTGATAATTCAATAGAGATTTAACAATTTAATTAATTTCTTTATCTCTACGAATTTGAATAGAATTAAATCGCGTGGTATTGTCGCCATTACAATATTTTCAAGAGTTTATTTCACTTCAGCTTTTGATTTTCTTTGATACAACTAACAAATGATAAAAAGAAAAACCTAATGTAGACCAGTTTTATAGTGAATCTTTGTTTATTAATTATTTTACTTTCTGATTCTGTGACATCAAAGATGTTGTGAAAATCGCTTAAAATAATGTAGTTTAGATTATTATATTTTTAGGAAGTATCATGTGAGTTAATCTTTTACTTTACTGAACATATCAAATATTCTATAATGAAATGGATAAAATCAATATATCAAAATCTTCTGATGTCTTAATAGACGCAAATCTTTTTGTATTTTGCCTGACTAAGTGGTTGAATATTAAAGCTAATACCAAAAAGTTCTTGGTGTAAGAACAAATTATAAGAACACTTTATTTTGAATAACCACCTGTTAGTATATATTTAATTTATTTATATATCTGCGGCCCAATTATTTCTGTCTGAATTTTTGGGAAGTTCTCTTTATTTACATTATTTACAGGTCGAAGCAGAAAAGGTCAAAGAGGAGATCCAGAAAGTTTCCACTGTCTGTCTACCTTACATCAAAAGGGTTTATAAAATTCAGAAGATCTGTGACCCATACAACATCACAACAATATTCAGAAGCAACTCCATTCTACGGTGAAATCCTTGTCGAGTCAAAACTACTAAGGAGGGGGAAATGACCAAAAACTCTGTGTACTTGATTCCTTGCAGCTTAGACAAAGAATATAAAGGTGAACTGGGCATCCCTCTAAAAGTAAAGCTCTGGTAACATGGAAAAGCTGTAGTGAAGAGTGAAGAGTGAGACATTGGAATCAGGACTGGCTTATCCTGTATAGCGGGAAAAGGGTAGTCCCTGTGGGATGAAGTGAAAATAATGGACAAGAACACTGGAGAGTCCTAAAGAATCAGCAGATATGCTAGGCTATGTGAATCTCATTAGAAGGCCTAATATAGAAATAAATACAATATGAGAGAAAGACAAATTACAACAGTTCTCCAATAGTAGCATCTGTAATAAAATAGAAATCTTCAGTGAATGCCATCAAGCCTGACCAGCAGCAGCAGCAAATATGTTAGGCATAAGGCACCAAGTTCTCCACACAGAGACAATGGTGTATTAAATCGTTAGATCTTGATTTTGGTGACATAGTAATTGTGGGTTCAGTCACTTGAACTCACTGGAAACAGGGTGAACATTAACTAAGCAGTATTGGCGAGGGTAGTGGAATGAGAACAATCAAAATAAATAATTCAGTTCAAGATTACCAGTAGATTAACATGATTGACATACACCTGATGAAGTTCGGAAGGCACAACGGGCGAAACGTTGTGATAACAACAACAAAGACGGAGTCCGCATGTAAATATATATTAGATGTTTTGGTAAATCTCTTTATGAGCTACAAAGATTTTTAAACTAAAAATAAGGTGCAGTTATGGTGTACGTTGTTTTAGTGTTCTTTTAGACATTCAGATGGATTCTTGATTTATAGGCTAGCGACTGCCAGATAAGCAGTATGTCAAGTGAAGAATTTACTCAACCTATTTGTTTTTGATTTCCCCTGTCGATATCATGTAACGAATCGTCATAAAAAGTCGATTTTAAAATGTATTTCCCATTTGCTTTTAAATTTTTTTTTATTCACATGTCAATATAAAATAGTGTGTTTTACACTGACATGAGATTTGCATTTATTATTTTAAGCATGTTTATGTGTTAGAATATCAATAAATTTCACATTTTAAGTTCTCGGGCGATATTTTATTTCACTTTATTTGTATATAAGCAAGAGTTATATTTTAGCATTTTAGATATATTGCGCCGATATTTTAGTGTAATCACGAATAAAGTTAACGTTATTACTATAAATTTAAGTAGGTCTAGTTGAATGCTTTCAAGTGCGTAGTTATTCATTTTGATCGCTTGTCATTTTTTCAACTACGCATAACTGTAAATATTATTGCCCGTGTAAATATGAAATATTTACTGAAAAAAAAATCTATATAGTATATATTGATCTCGAGATCATAAATAAATGAAAATAGCGGGTTAAATATTAACATCGACCAATATTGAAACATTTATGAGATTGAAAATGTAGCATATTATCTTGCTGTCGACTGCTTCTTTGCTCAGCTTATAAATATCTATATGTCTATTCTTTGCCGGTATTCATTTAACCAGTACTGCTAAGTCTGGCTCATGACATGATTTCTTGGGGGATCTAATGACCTAGGAGCAGCTATGACTTTAATGAAATACATCATTTAATGATAGTTTTTCGATAGATCTGAATTCACGTTGTGAGCCTTTGAAACAAATACGTTCCTAGTTTCTTCGCAAAAGTAAATCGAGACAAAAGTTATCGGAGAAATTGATATTCCTGCGAGATGAATCTCAGTATTTGAACGTCATTCGCGTTTCCTTTGTCTCGGGCAAAATCTTATTACAGCTGAGAACGAAGAGAAGATTAAACGAAAATGAAAAAGATTCATCGGTGACTATATGTTGCCCAAAGTGTACGTCATAAAGCAACTTCGGGCAGGATGGATCCCCGGTAAAGGCATGTTGTAATGGGGTTCGTCATAAAGGTTAGAAAAGCGGAGGGACACAACGTTGGAAAATAAACATATGGACTGATATTAGGGATCAACTTAATGCTATGGAGAGTAAAGGTAGGTCTGGGTCAGCGAAGATTGCAAAAGGAGCATGTCGGGTTACGTTTGAAAGAACAGAAACGAACGATCAGATTGATGGGGTAAATGTGATTAGAGATCAAGTAAGACTGGGATATGACATGAGAGAAAGAAAAGAAAGAGACTTATGCAAAGAGGCAGTAGCTTATAATCAAAGGGATAGATATGAAATGTAGTAAAGAAGAAAAAAGAGAAATACACATGGAAAAGAAAGAAAGAAAGAAAGAAAGAAAGAAAGAAAGAAAGAAAGAGACTGATCAAAAGAAAAATATAATGGAATCGGCTAAACTGAAAAAAATGACCGAATCAAAATTAAACTGATGGGAAATGACTGGGAGAATTGAAAATAAAATGAAAAGAGAAAGCGTGAATTAAAAAAAGGAGGTGGTATGTGAATAAAATAAAAGAGACACAAGGAAGATTGAAAGACAGGAGTGTAATAAAAAAAGAGGGGAACAAGATTAAAGGGTTAAGAAAAAAGAGAAAGATCTAATATCAGACACAAATGTATATGTTAATAAAGGGAAAGACAAACAGAACAAGAAAAAGTGAAAGAAGGCGGCAATAAAGAAAGAAAGAAAGAAAGAAAGAATGCAAGGAAAATAGGAAGGAGGAAATTTTGCATGGAAGGAATGAAAGAAGTAAGTAAAGAAGGAGATAAATAATAATGTAAGAAAGAAAAGAATTAAAGAGGGAATGAAAGGCAAGAAAAGAAGAAAGCAAGAATACAAGGAAAGTCGGAGGGAATGTGGTATAGAACGAATTAAAGAAAGAAAGAAGCATGAAAGGAAGGAAAGAAGTTAAGAAGCATGGAAGGTAAAAAAATGAATGAGAAGGAAGGAAGGAAGGAAGGAAGGAAGGAAGGAAGGAAGGAAGGAAGGAAAGAAGGAAGGAAGGAAGGAATGAAGGAATGAAGGAGGGGGATAACATTCTTGAAATGTCTAAAAAGAAGATAAGGAAAGATCGTGAAATTTAGAAGATAAAGAACAGTGCCCAAAGAAATAATAAATTTGAGAATAAAGAACATATGAATGAAGCAATCAAAGAATGCAAAACGGGTAAGAGATGCAAAGGGGAATATTATAAAGCAGGGAATAAATGGAAAGAGTACAAAATATAAACTATAGAAAGACAAATCAGATAAGAACGAATCGTAAAAGGAAAGTAAAAAAGAAAGAAGAGATGCATTTGGAAGCAACACATTTGAAAAATGGAAAATGGGTAGAATCGGAGGTGCGCAAAGCGTGTAGAAAAAGAAGTGGACAGTAAAGTAAGAGAGAGAGAGAGAGGATACAAGAGAGGGACAAGAGAGAGAGAGAGAGAGAGAGAGTTTTAAGGGGAAAGAAATCCAAATAATGTAAAGTAAACATGAAAATTAATTATTGTTAGTAAAATCATCAGAGAATGAGGCTCATAGACAGCAGTTAAAATGAGAGAAGGAAAAAACTTAATAATAACAAGCAAAATGGCTACTTTCTTGCTAACGGAAGCTACAATCTAAAATGAGAAGCAGATACCTGTTAATATTTGCCTAAAAAATATGATAGAAACGTAAGCAGATAAAAACATAAATTGTAAAGATTTTATAATGACTTCTAAGGACATATTTACCTATTTTGTTTGAACTTGACTCAATTTTCGTTTCTTTTTCATCTTTTTGTATATATATTTCCTCACACAGATATACATATATATATATATATATATATATATATATATATATATATATATATATATATATATATAGATAGATAGATAGATAGATAGATAGATAACACAAACCGAGCATTGTAAGGTTATTAATCAGTATAGAACTCACAACATAGTAGTTATGATCTGGGAGAATATCTTACCATAGGTCGAAAGCAATTATTTCACACACACACGTATATGTATAAATATATATATATATATACACACACACACACATATATATCTATATATATGTTTACGTATGCATGTATCTGTATATACATGCGTATGTGTATTGATATACAAGCATGTTTTACACCATTTATTAATTTTATATATCTATGTCGTCATTTCCTGCATTTCTGTTTCGTTTACCCTTTTTGTTTTACTACAATTTGATTCATTAGATATTGACTTACATATCTATCTATCTATCTATCTATCTATCTATCTATCTATCTATCTATCTATCCTTATTTATTTAACATCTTGTTTCTCTGTCTATATTTCGAATATTTTTGTCCTTTTTACAATTTCATTTCTTCCTTAAATGTTTATCCATACTTTCTCTTGTTATCATTTTTGTTTTTCTTTCTCGGCTCATCATTCGATCGTTCTTATGTGCATCACTTTCTTTCTTACTTAAAACCCTTGTCCTGGTTTTATCTTTTATTTTACTTTTTAATCTCTCCACTCAAATCTAATGACCCTTTCCTCTCTCTCCTTTCTATTCTTCCCTTCGAACAATTCTGTCCTCAGATTTCTACAAATCCCCACAACCTTTATTATAATGCCTTCATCATTGCCCTCGCCTCCGCCATCATATTCCGGGTTTCACTGTTTCCAGTTGTCCAACCTCCGGATACTCTACGCATTAACTTTGATAATTAAATTGGAGCGAGCTTCTAACCTGTGCATATAAAACTTCTGAGGACAACGCTCGGTCGATCGAGCGTAAAATGTAAAGTTAAGCACAGTGCCCTACAGGGTTAGCAGTGGGTAAACCCGATGTCAGGCACTTGACGGTAAAACGAGATAGGAAGAGAGAGAAGAGCGCATGCGCACGACAGGTCAGACCTGTCGCTTTCTGAGAGGTAGATGGAAGTGTACAAGAGTTGGATGGGGTCTTCAGTTTGATTGGTTCGGTAGTTGTGTTTGTGGTGTGCTTGTGGGCGGTTGGCGATGTTGGAAGAGTCGCAGTATGAGTGGTTTTTGGTCTTTCATTTCTACTACTTACTCTCCCTCTTTGTCGTCCTCCACTTTATCAGGGGACCTTCACCTCTTGTCCGCCATTTTGCTTAGTGGATCGATCATGTGCCGACTTATATGACAGGCAATTTCACAAAGGTGAACCTGCCCTGGCCGTGACTGACGTCTATGTATGTGATTAGGGAGAAATTATAAAATGAAAAGCCAACAGTACAAACAACTAAACTAGGAAAAAAATTAAAAAACAAATGCGTTCGAAGATGAAACAAAAGAGAAAATGGTGGTCAGGATCGAATAAAGAGACGGAGGGAAACAGAGAGAATATAAAGGGTGAAAGTGAAAGAGACGGAGTCGAGTAAATAGAAAAAGAGGTAAGGAAAATAGTGAGAATAGGGTTAAGGCAAAAAATGCAATTGAAGTTCCCAAAGCAAAAAATAAATAGATCGATGGCCCGTGGAAAATTAGAGGAGCAAACGAACACAAGGCAAATAAAATGCAAATAGCAATATTAATAAATACAAGACAAGTTTTTGTAATTGCCGCTTCTGGTTATGTGTTTTTTAAAACGCTTTTTGATGGCATTTTTTATGCTTTCGTTATAATTCTTTTCTTTAAAAGTTCTGGAATAAAAATAATAGGAAAATTTGTTACAATCCTTCCATGAAATTATATTTACGTTACAAGTGCCCAAACATACATTACCTGCACATATGTCTTTATATATATACACACACACATATATATATATATATATATATATATATATATATATATATATATAGAGAGAGAGAGAGAGAGAGAGAGAGATAGTAAAGGAGCTTTTGTCCAGCGTTATTTTATTTTTTATTACTATGAACGCTAATTTAAGTTGGTACACATGTTTGAGTTGCCGTCTCCGTCTTTTGATTTTTTTAATGAAATTAATGACACTCGGTCTAAATTGAAAAGTCCGACTAAAGGAAAATTGTGCCTCCGATAAAAATCGAACCCAACACACGCCGCTACAAGTATGGCTATTTAAGGAAAGCCAAGTGACTCATTGCGCCTTCTCGGGCTAAGGTTCTCATCTGAGGAAGTGAAAAGGCTATACTTAATCCATTGTTAGATCAGCTGCCGAGAAATTTGGTTCATTGCGTCGTGCGAGACAATTTTTTACTCCGGAGTCTCTCATACATATCTATAAGTCTACAAGTCGTCCATGCTTAGAATATTGTTGCCACATATATTTACCTTGAGCTCCTTGATAAAATTCAAAGAAAAATCAGCAATATTATCGGTCCTGATCTGGCGTCTCTTCCTCTGTCACTTTCCCACCGCCGTAAATTTCCTCTCTGTGTCTTTTCTATAAATACTTTCATGGTAATTATTCGGACGAACTCTTTGTTATGATACCCAGATTTTTTGAACTTAAGAACAGTACTAGACTGGCATCAAATGCTCATCAATTTACAGTTGAACTGGCTAAATGTAACCGTAAATTATATGCTAACAGTCTGTTTTCTCACACTTCTCGCTTGTGGAACTCTTTTCGGGCTCAAAAATTTTAATTCAAAGTCTATCGCTATCTACTGTCCTCCTGATTACTCTTTTCTCTTCCCGCTCATTAGTAATGTTTCTGTTCCTAATTCTTCCGCACCCAGTAACCCCCTTGTGTCTTAGTTGCTTTACTGCATTGCTTGAGTTGAAATCGATAAAAACGAAAAGAAAAAAGAAGCCCATTTCTCGTTGGGACTTCTAATAATCTATATATGCCAATTTAAATTTCGTACTAGCTTTGGCTACAGAGTGTCGGATAAAAACACTTTAAAATTCTATTGTTTACGTTTTGTGTACGAAACTGAAGCTAGAATTACATTCTCAAAAATTTAAATGCGACGACAATCGCTACGTTCTGTCTTCCTGCAGACTATTCTTTTATTCTCCTTTCTCCTCATTGAGTCCATTCTCAGTAACCCCTTGCGTCTTAGTGATATTATCGTCTGGTTTGGTGTAAATTGGTTAAAAAATATCGAAAAGACAATATATTCTCCCAAGTTGAAACAGCTATAAAGTTTTAAGTGATTACTTGATGTTTTTAAGGGTTTCTTCGATGTCTACAAACACTCGTGCATGGATACTCATATGCAACATCATGTATCTATACACACTCGCACTTATAAAGGCATAATGCAAGCTATAAATATATATTTGTTGAGAGAATACATCTGTGTGAACAACTGTATGCATGTATCAAGAGTTTTTATTTAATATCTCATAACGAATTTTTGTGTCAGTATTATGAGAAAGCATAAAACTAATAGAAACAGAGGTGCACTAACCTCTTAAATAAGTTCCCTTTATTTCTGATTTGAAAAATTTTCCGTCCTTATTTTCATGAGTTTAAAACTAGAATGACAAACGGTAAAATCGATCATTTATCCCCATCCTGATTTCAGTGAATTTATTCTCTTATTTAATGTAATAGATTAGCAACGAAACTTCAAATGACATCATTGATTATTTGTACCTCCCTAGCATTTGGTATTTTGATTCTATTGATTGTTTCCTTCAATATTTGTGGGTATCAGAAACCAATAGTCTAGTTTTGGGTCCCGTAACCAATTAGGGAACCACATGTACTACAACCGTTGCAGCAGTGATGTCTCCAGGATGAGATCGCTTGACTAAGCCCGTCTCTCCTTTATCCAGTCAGCCCTGCTATTTAATCTATAAGTGGGCAGAATTAGAAGAAAAGATGGATTCGTAATTTTCCCAATTGTGTTTGTGCGAAAGTGAGCGTAACACACTTCGTTAGAATTCGAATTCAACTCGCTAATTTTTCTTTCTGTGTAGCTCATCAAAAAAAAAAAAAAATTCTGAATATATTTCTTGGCTTAAATAAGACATCCGGAAGAGGCATGACACGTGGAACTAGAACAATTTATCCCGGTGAACGAAATAAATGGTTCGGTTCGAAATTAAAATCACCTGAAGAAGGCTGGAGCGTATAACGTCAGAAACGTTGTGAATATGGCAGTGAAGATGATGATAAAGATCCGAATAATGTAAATAATTTTTATAGTATTTTTACTTAATACAAAGTGTGTAGGAGTGAGGACAGAGGATGCGATGGCCCCGGTCATCCATATCAAGAGAGCATCCGATCAAAGTGTGAAATAAAAAATTAGTTTTTGAAATTTGAAATTGTCTCTGTTAACTTTGTTGTACTAGTGCCCTACAGTTCCTCAAGCTGGTGTGAATGTGGATTCATGTCTTGATAAGTAAAACCAGAGTAGGCTCCCCTACTTTAACCTTAGGGGCATACAATCATGGAGTTGGACACGGGTATCATCAAACCACTGAGCCAGAGGGTTATTGAATAAGTTTGTTGTATTGTTGTAAGGTGTAAGATGTAGGATAGATAACGGTTGACTCTAGACTAGTGATCGGGAAAACCTATATCTGGGAGTCTGTTCCTCAACGTAACAGGGATGAAGTTGCCTGAGTGGAACTTCCTGTTTATAAATGGAATATGGTAGTTGTAATATATATATATATATATATATATATATATATATATATATATATATATATATATACTACAACTACTACTACTACTAATAATAATAATAAAATTAATGGGCTCTCCCGTCGGTTACGACGTATGAGGATCTGACAAATTAGTTGATTCTGTTATGCAATTTTGTGCGATAATCTTAAGTGGCATTTAAGACCCGCTAGTGATTTACAAAGGAGGCCACATATGGAGCAAGTGTGAGGATTGTGAGATAAGATCACTGTTAAATTGGCTGACCTTTAAGATCTTGCTCTCGCTTCTTGAACATGATTCAGACAAGCAGATAATATATATATGGAACAACATGTACTGCAATTGATATGTAATATATTGATATATATTAATTACCAGGGTAAATGAAAGAATGTATTCATTTATTCCTAAGTCTGTAATAAAGCAATATCAAAAATGTAGAAAATATAATTTGGAGTGTAATTGCTCTATAATCTTGATTTTTACATTTCATTACTGACCTGAGATAACATAATGAAAGAAAAATTTTGGTCTTACTCTACAAATGGTAGTTGATGTTATAAAATATAAATAAATATAAAAAATAATTTGAATCAACAACTTTTTCCTAAGAGATACAAACTTTAGATAAATCATTTCCTGGATTTAATAAGAAAGCAAATCAAATATGTTTCAAACGGAACGGTTTGGTTGTGTATAACGAACAAACAATTCATAGTAATATATATATATATATATATATATATATATATATATATATATATACAACGTGTATTAAAGTACTTTTAAAAACTTTTACAACAGCAAAGGTTGGATGACTCGTCTGCCTTCTTTCTGGAAACGCAGTCTGATGCAACCATGCAGCCTTGTGTCCACTGCCATTCGCGCGGCAGTATGTAAAAATCATATCTGTGTGTGCAACTGAAAAAAGAAAGAAAACGTATACCTTCCGTAGTGAGATTGTGATCCAACATGTCTAAGTAATATTTTTTGTAATCTTTCGAGCAGGGAACAGTGGTGGATTCGTTTTAGTCACCGTACCCATAAAATATATGTTAGTAATATCAACCTTGTTATATGAAATATTTATTTGAATAAAACCTGATAAGAAATAATGTTTAAGCAATACATTTTCGCAGAAAGTTTGAAAGGAAACAGTTTAAATATATAACTTGGTTAAATTCAACGAAAGAACAAACAAAATAACCTAATATAAGTATATATATATTTTTTTTTTGTTACGAGCATAGTAGATGTTTAACAGAAGAACAAGTAAATAAACCACTATTAAGTAAAATGTGCATTGGAAAATTAACCTTCACATGATGACTGAAGATGATCGAAAATGTTATTTCAGTGAGGGCAAGTTATAATTAACAATGGAAGCAAACATATTTTCATTTTCATCAGACTGTTCATGGCAAAATCTGTTACTTCTCTTGCTACAGATCGCCAATAACCTTCTCAAGCAGAGAAGATACCAAATAGCAGAAGTACAAAACACGAAGTGAAGATTAAAAGATATTAGGATATTACTGTATGCAGCCTCACGGAAAGATCAATAGAAAAGATAGATTGATTTTAGGATGAAAACAACATTCGGTCAATATCAATTGAAGTCTGCTTTTTCTCGATGACACTCTTTACTCAATGCAGCACGTACAACACTGAAGTTGAAAGCATTCAAACGATCAGAGAACTTTGAACCCGATTCTTAATCTGCGAGGGATTTCAGTCCAAGGAGACTTTGGAATTAAGATTAACAAGGTCAGAGTTTTGCTATGGAAAACTGTGTAACTTTGTGATAATACTGCTAAGAAAGTTCAAATTGAAAAGCTCTGCGAGAGAGTTAGGATTTAAGACAAAGTTCAAAGTTCAAACCATTGGCCGGCTTACAGAGTAGAAAACAAACTTTGACATCAATTTTTTACGGTACAAGAACAGAATGAAAGACGTGTTTATTACAAGAATTCTTTAATATCTAGTTAAATCCAGAGATACTAATGTTTATCGTTGGGTTTTTTCTTGTAAAATCTGCATTGTCTCCGTGCAGGCACTACGATTCTTATTGCTTACAAGACCCATTGAATGTCTATCTTCACGATTACATATTGTGAATTTCACAGCCTGTACGTATATTATATAAACAAGTTCACACCAACTTCATAATTGTGTGATATATGATTTATTTTTAGAAGTAGATTAATCAGGGGAAGCGTGTGATACGTAACAATTACAGAATCGATGAACAGAGTTCAAACCCTGGTGGAACGATATACTCTCATTTAATACCTAATTTCTCTAGGGAAGTTATAAATCCACTTCCCTTTATCAGCTATGGATATCTGTTGGTAACATGTATCCCAGTAATTTCATATTTGATCTTATTTCCATAGTACATATGCACTGCCAAGTGACTACTATGGCACTTGGAGATACCATGAATGAGGAATTAGTCGGTATAGCACATCGATAACTTAATGGGATACGAGAAACGTCACCAGATTATAATAATTTATAAATGGCGAATATTCAAACAAGTGTGTTGAATCAATGACGTTAATTCCCTTACTATAAAGCTCTACGTTAATAATACCCACTTGCGTTGTTAAAAAGGGGAAAATAGAAAAATAATATTTTGATTGTCATTTATTCCTGATTTGTACATTCACTTGTACTTTTTTTGTTTATATACTATCATGTCACGAATTAATGGGTGTTGATTTGATTGTACAGAGGATGATTCTTATAACTTTACATCAAAATAACATGTAATAAAATTATTGAGTTGTATTACATGACAGCACGCATGATGATGAAAAACCGTAAACAACGGGAGAAAAGTTGCGCTGAAATAACAGATCTGAGGTGTTCGCTTGATAGAGCATAGAAGAAGAAGAAGAAGAAGAAGAAGAAGAAGAAGAAGAAGAAGAAGAAGAAGAAGAAGAAGAAAACTTGACGCCATTCTACGACTATTTGTTTCCTTTCTGACATGGGAAAGCCATTAAAAATGTACGACAGAGATTATAAAAAAAAGCCATGTGTTGCACTGTCATTTCGAAAGTAACTCCCCTAAAAGAGGATACAAAAATATACAGAAAATATGGAGCAAGAAGTATACAGCATTGTCTGCGTCAAGCAAAGCAATTACAAACCAGAATTTAAAAAAGAGCGTTGTTTTGTATTTGGAATTTATTTTGATAAATAGAAAAAAACAATACCCAACCCCAAATGAATAAGTTACTCCTGAAATACCCCTTTACCTTTTTTACTAAAAAAATTACCTGAAAAAAAAAAGAAAAAAAAAGGAGAGGAACGCAAGTGATGAAATAAATACTATCATAAGAGAAACAGTCATGGCTATTTCTGGTACATATGAACCGAATAAATTTTAAGTTGAGACGAAGAAATTGAGTAAACGGCTACATCTTCAAACTGACATCATCTAACTAAACTGCCGGATGAAAGGGGATTGGATTTTTGAAAGAGCCACGCATATCAACAAAGACTCAAAGATTGGTTGGGAGGTGAAACTAGAACAAAAAAATACGCGGAGAAGCAAAAAAGTAATTATTAAAAAAGCGAGTAATTCAAAGATCGATCCACGTGATGAATCGATAGAATATAAAGTTACTACTAAAAACAATCATCTGAAAAAAGAGATAAATAAATCAAAAGATCTTTGTTAATGGCGACAGGTTAAAGAGTTAATGATATAGAATTCAACAATACAGACAATAGAATCTACCAGAACAATGAAAGCAAATTTTCCAGACAGATAAATGAAGAAAAATGGAAGCACAGAACAGCCGGATGCAACTGTACAATTTTTGTATTTTTATTTTTCGTAGGGGAAGGTTATATTAATAGAGAAAAGGACGCCAAAAAAGAAATGTATGAGGTCAGAAACGTTTATGATAGTGATATTATCATTGAAACTTTGATAAGCGCTTCAGGGAAAATTGTTAACTAGAAAGCGCTAAGCCAAAATAGAATTGTTATGTTGTGGTTCAGGAGATTCATACTTTATGAAAGACTGGTGCAGCAATTGCATCAAGGCCTTAATAATTTATTCTTATACTTTACTAATCCATATACAATAATAGTTAATGAATGAAAAGATTACTCTAATCCATATACAATAATACTTAATGAATGAAAAGATTACTCTAATCCATATATTACAAAAATAACGATAGCAATTACAGGCTTACAACTTGCCTGCTTACAATGTAAATAATGCTTACGGAACTATTTGCTGAATATCACTTAGTCTTTTTTAAGTAATGGTAGGAATGTGAGAAAGGAACCAGCCGAATAAAAATCCTATTATATCATTATTAGGTAAATTGTCAAAGTAAGAACTTAAAATAGATATTTCCTTTGTCATGAACAGATTGAAAAAAAAAACACTAAGAGATCTTAGATTTCCTGAAGATGTTAAAACTGGTGAAGTTCGTAATAAAACCAACGGAAAATTCGAGACAGCAATTTCTAACTGAAATCAGCGTAAAAGGCATTTTCCACTTAAGCTATATAACTTAATTCACATTCTCTCTAGTATGGATTCCGTTCAGAAATTGCCGAAGAGTATTCAAATTCAATGGTAAGTTTAAAAATAAAGATTAGTATAACCTTGTGTTCATAGCCACATAAAATTTATTCCATGAGTAGATATGACAGTATTTTTGTGCATGTACGGATGTATCTTCATGCGTCTTCTATATCAAGAAAGAAAGACAACACGAATGATACAAATTGATAAATTTTTTCAGTTATGGGTTAATATTGATTCATTTAACAGCAATGAACATAATCATTGGAAATCAAGAAGCAAGTACTTAACGAGAAAATATGGTGTTGTAGTCCGTATATTTTATAAGTTCTCTTATTTACGCTAAGTAGATTCTGACTTTCGATATTTTTCTTCAAACCCAAAGTTCAGAATTTTAGAAACAGTATTTGTGACTCTTAAACGACAATACATGATAACCAATTTCAGTCTTTGGACGTCGTAAGAATGCTCATCCTAAAACTATTTTTTCAGTAACAACTTTATATTACTCTTCGTAATAACAATATTGCAAATTCTAGAATGGTACGAAGAACAACAATTCAGAAGAAACTTCCGTTTACAAGAATTTCTCTTTCATAGATTCTTAAATTTAATCCTAATACTATTTTCTTAATAAATATATTAATTCTTAAATGGAAAAAACGTTATTTAAACCGATAAATTATGTGACTATTGTAATATAGTAATTAATTCTAAAACAGCAAACATACGCTGTGGTATGTTTATAAATTTTACTGATAACATTATAAAATTTTAAGCTGTTTGCTTATCTGGCCTTTTTTCCCTTATGTTACTTGAGGTGCAATCAACTACTTACAGTTTTGTAGCATTGTATAGTACAAATGGAATGAAATATTATCTCTTTGAAAATTCATGTATCAAAATTTACATAAATACAGAACAATACAATTAATACATTCAAATATCTTGATAAGCAGTTTGGAAATTTATCGAAACTTAATTGCATTTTGACAGTCTTAATCCATGCTAACGACTAAACGTCTATTATTATTCGCAATATTTTCACCGTGTAAATAAATTTTTAAGATTTCCTTTTTAATTATTGTTCAGTTATCTCATGAGACTTTCTTTTAATCGGATGAGCATTTAGTTATATTCCTATCTTTTTGGTAACATTTATAATCCTTGGTTGGGTTCTTAAGGCTAAGTTATTATTACTTTTATACCTTGCTTACTAATTTTATAATCTTTTGTTTCGAGAATTACTTCCCTATCAGTTCCAGATTATGATAATCGGTTGAGACAGCAGGCGCAAAGCCTGGTAAGTGCATCGATGCTTTTGGGGGGTAGTTATTTAGCTATTGTTTGAAGGCATTCATTTTAAGATGATTGCTTTCAGATTGTGTGCGGATCTTTTTTCCTTAAGTCAATATTCTCGTTTAATATCTTAGCTCAGTATAATGTATTTTATTTCCCCGACTGATTGCTTCTTATCCAATGGCTTCTTGTCGTATACCATTCCACACAACTGACAATTCCGATCATGTCGTTTTCAGTAATTGCTGTTCAAAGTTTCATTTCAAGTTAAGTAACAATGAATACGATAATGAGTTGAATGGGTGACACATTATATATTCTCTGTTACAGAAAAAATATCCAGTCCTTATGGAAGACTCAACTTTATTTTTAGTAAAGAACGATAACTTACAATTTCTCTGTTAGCTTCATGTGAGATGAATTTCATTAATATATTTTACAAGGTATTATTTGTGTATGTCTGTCAGATTTCGCAGCGCCTATTTAGAAAACTAGACAGATTTAACAATATACAAACGTTTTGTAACATAAAAATTCTGAAAACTTTTGCCTCTACTGAGCAATCTTTTTTTTTAGTTGACTTTGTTGTAACGAGATTAATCAATGAAAATTTTGAGTTGCAGAGAAATATTTACTTATAATATATATAGAATCTAAAAATGATTCAAATATGAGTGCAAATTAAATAGAACAGACTTTCCAAGTGACAAGTCTAAATGACTGTTATCGGCACTAGCATGGATGTTTTGCTATTCAAAAATGAATTTTATTTTGATTTTATTGCTGTGGAAGATTTATAGCCAAATATGAAAATTGGAAAAATAATTTTTTAAAAAGATTTTGTTTATGTGCTTAAATCTATGCCTTTAATATAAATTTAAACACTGACAGAGAATTAGTTTATCATTCCGATAATCAATTATTTACAGTTTTCAAAAACAGTTGCAATAGAGATATCGATTTATTAAGCGTAGCTTAGACGTGGCACAAGGCAGAAGTTAGTGGGAACACAATGAACTTTTAACTCACAACTCAATCGTAATTGATCTGGCAAGATAAGCTTGTCAACCATTACATAACGTCGAGGTTTCCAAGACATAAATCATATTTTTAAAAAATACCGTATTTTTATTTTTAAAATTATCTTTAACTTAAATTAAGGAATGCTGTAATTTTATTTTAATCATTTCGTCCCAGGCAAGACGATGATACCAAAAAGATCCAAGGGTTTACAGAGAATGAAATCGACTTTAATGAAAAGAAATGACAATAAAAGAACAGTGTTCAGGAAGACAGAAGACGGTGATTCGTGTTGCATGGAAACTTAAAGATTGTAATTGACAGAGAAGTAAGTAAGCGGAAGCGACTTCCAGATATCATATTTATTAAATTTCTAATAATAAATCAGGAACAAAATTATCCTTCTACATTTACAAAATAAAACTGTACAAATTTATGTATATACTTTTTATTCGTGAATGATCATATAAAAATCTCAATATGAATGTAAATGCAGGAACGTGTCTATAATTTAATTTCCAGTGCGCAATCAAGCTACAACCAGTATAATTTAAATGTTGACAATACAAAAGTTCATTTCTCTATAATCTTTCAATTCTAAAGAAGAATTTACTCTAAGTAGCGCATATACCTGTGATGCATTATTTGCATTGTTCAAGTAACACATAAAACATTCGTAATTAAAGTAGATAAACAAAAATAATTTGATATTTTTCCTTTGTTATACTTTGCTTTTATGGTTTAAATCTTGGAGTATTTTTTCAAAAATGATATTCCTGCAAGATATTTATAAGCCAAGGAATTGGTCATATACAAGGCTTCACTGGAATCATTCTAGTTTTATCAGAAAAAAGACATATAAATACACGCATATGAACACAAATTCATTTTTATATGCTTAAACAGACATGAAATATGTTATAAATATATATTACGAGTCTCTTTACAAGCATCAAATATCAATATTGTTTTCCTTATGTCAGCAGATTAGAAGCGTGCAGTGGTTTGTATTTAGGTAGGAAAAGAAACAAAAAACAAAAAATCAACGTAAGCAGTAAACGTTTACAAAGGAAAAAGAAACCTTTTTTTTCCTTTTAGCGCCATCAAGGATTCAGAATAA